GTTGCTTAAATGTTGTCAAACTCAGAGGGCTGCAGCCAGCAGAGTTTAGTTCCCACCCTGCTTCAACATTACCTGTAGACTTCAAATGAGCCTCAGTTAGTTTGATCAGGTGTGTTTAATTAGAGTTAATGCTGAACTGTGCAGACCTGTGGCCCTCTGCTATATGTTAGATGAAATTTAAATGTTTGACACCGGTGCCATATACACTGCATGTGTTGTTTATTAACTGAACCTTTTTCTTTCATTGTAAATACAAAATGTATTGACATCTGCTGATTTCTTTAATTTTGTTGTACGTTTTCTTTTGTAAATTTGTTTGTTGCTAAAAAAATAAAATCCATGTGTCTGAAGAATTTATATGCTTTCTAATTTAATAACACTTAAGAATACTGATTAAGTTTAGTAACACTACAATAACTGTAAATGAGAAGATCTTAGAATTCTTAGATCTTAGATTATTAGAATATGAGCATGCGATATTAGATATTTAAAAAAGCAAGCAATTGCTCCACGTTTTAAATTTCTGTCCAGAGAGGTCATGTTTTGATCCTCGATTGGTCTCACGCAGTCAAGTGATGTGATTTCACAGGTCGGAGTTCACCAAGCTTAAACTTTGCACCGCAGCAACCTGCGAAATTTTACGCATGACCCTATGTTTCCGGTCTGATGCATTCGCGTGAGTATCATTGGAAGTCTATGGGGAGAAAAGCCCAGTGTGACTGCAGCTTAATGCAGTGAGTTGTCACACTTCAATAAGTAACTGTAAACAGTTTTCAGTTACCGCTACTCCTCTGTCAAAGTAATTAACTGACAATACTGTTGCCTGTTACTCACTGTAACCAAGCCATTCGCTGGTTTGAGCCTCGGCTGGGTCAGTTGGCATTTCTGTGTGGAGTTTGCATGTTCTCCCTGCATTCGCGTGGGTTTCCTCCGGGTGCTTTGGTTTCCCCCACAATCCTAAGACATGCTGTACAGGTGAATAGGGTAGGCTAAATTGTCCGTAGAGAATGAGTGTGTATGGATGTTTCCCAGATGGGTTGCAGCTGGAAGGGTATCCGCTGTGTCAAAACAATACTGGACAAGTTGGTGGTTTATTCTGCTGTGGCGACCCCAGATTAATAAAGGGACTAAGCCGAAAAGAAAATGAATGAATTTAAGAGGTTTGAAAATACTTAAAAACTCTGGACAGTCACATTTATAAAGGTTTAGAGCTTCTAAGAGACTTCAGGTAACACTTTATGTACATCCTTACAAAACATACATTCCCACACAACATTTGCAATAAAAACCACAAATCACATTAAAATATATGTTTGAAATCGAACATATAATGTTTTAACCCTTGTATACTGGGTGTCTGCAGCTTTTATCAAGTCAAATTTAAGACTTTTTAAGACCTTTTTAAGAATTAAATTTTAGACATATAATGGCGTAAGAATATTTCTAATGGCCCGGTATTTTCATGGAGAATCCTGTAATTGTTTTTATTTTTTTCGCTGATTAGGGAATTTAATTTGGGTGATTTGCTGTAAAAATGTCTAACAGCTGTTGTGAACTGTATCTCTTTACAATAAAAAACTTAAATATAAAAAATAAGGATTTACTGAGATGTGTTGTTTGTCATTAGATGGATATTTACAGACCTGAAACTTGCCTTTAGCACTTATTCATTGTTGCTCTTTGTTGTGTAAATTGCTTCCTTGTCCTCATTTGTAAGTCGCTTTGGATAAAAGCGTCTGCTAAATGACTAAATGTAAATGTAAATATCGGCCCAAATTGAGTAGCTTTACATGGACAAATTTAGGTACAATTTAGGTTTTGCAATTTAAGACATTTTGAGATTTTTTTTAAGACCCAGCGGACACCCTGAACCTGTAACAGGCAATATCAGAAATATTTTTTAAAAGTATTTAAAAAACACAGCCTGATGTTTAAACTGAATCTGTAATAAATAATCAATTAAAAACAAATATGATAAGTTAAAGATAGAATAGCATCCCGGAGATGGGTTGTGGCTGGAAGGGCATCCGCTGTGTAGAAACCTGCTGGATAAGTTGGCGGTTCATTCTGCTGTGGCGACCCCGGATAAATAAAGGGACTAAGCCGACAAGAAAATGAATGAATTAATAAAGAAAGAATAAGTAAAAGTAAAGGAATACAGTTTACAGATGTGAAATCTATGCTCGATGCAATGAATTTGAATTGTAGAATATTACAGAGACTCTATTGGATAGCTTATGAGTAGAGCCAGATGGAATTTCCCGACAATTTTTGTTATTTCTGCTCAGAATTTTGCTAAAAATCTGCGGATTTATGGGGAATGATTTTGGGAGTATCATAACTAAAACCTATGAAATAAAAAGTAATACATTTTTAACTTGTATTTAATGTTTACATTGCAAGTCCAATTGGATCCACGTTATTTGGTAAACAAAGCAAGTCTCTCATATATTATATCTACTAAAAGACAGAAAATATCACTTTACAAACTATTTTGCAAATTAATCATATCAATATTTTAATATTATAATAATATTTACAATACTGAAATTAATTTAAAAACTGAATACATATGAATTTACACAAGTAAATAAACAGAATCAATGATGGAATAAAAATATGCAGAATTCTGCAAAATTTTGCACATGCAGATTCCGTGTGGGCCTACTTATGATATAAAGAATAGCTCCTGAAAAGCATCACAATTAATCTGGGTTTTTAAAAGTCAAGTGAATGTCTGGGGTGATATCCGTCTGTGTGTGTGTGTGTGTGTGTGTGTGTTTGTGCGTGTGTGTGTGTGTGTGTGTGTGTGTGTGTGTGTATGTGTGTGTGTGTGTGTGTGTGTGTGTGTGTGTGTGTGTGTGTGTGTGTGTGTGTGTGTGTGTGTGTGTGTGTCTTTATGAAACTTTATATCAAGTTATAACACTTTTGACACTTTATAACAAGTGTTACTATCTGAACAGCCTCTGTGGTGTCCTCTTAGTAAAAACTTCTAAACACAAAGAGAAAATCAAACTATCATATTTCACCAAAACCCCAACACAGTTCATCATCACTTCCCTTGTCAAAAAATCCTAAAGGGTTCCAATAGGATATCGATAAAGGATTCCAACTAGAATTTCTATTATATTTTGGAACCTTTCCTAAAGGATTCCAACAGGATTTCTGTACAGGATTCCATTTAGAATTTCCATATGTTTTTTGAAACCTTAAAACCTGAAGGAATCCATTAGATTGTTTAATTATAGGACAAGTATAAGGGATTTTAATGGAATTTTAATGGAATCCTAAATGTACAATTTTCTGTTCTATCTGTGACTGTGTCTTTCGAAAACTCACCTTCACAGCTTAACTTGTGCAACCTTAGAGAACAGCATTAGTGCACAAACCTCTGATAATATTGATTTTAAAAAGGGCAAATTTATGTCCTGTTGTTTCAACATTGTTCAATCCTAATTCTTTTTTTTTCATATGAACAGATAAAAAAAATTCATACACAGAAAAAAATAGTCTTTTTGTCATTTTACACTCTTCAGCGCATTTTCATTCACTCTTTACCATTTTTACATTTTTTTTAATTCGTTGCAGCAGACTCTTTAAAAATCTCACAAAAAGCATGCATACAAATATATAACCCTTGACATCTTTCAAATATGTCAAAAGAAGTGTATGGCTTGCAGTTTTTCTTAATGTTCCCAATTGAAACCTTTATTTACAATGCTAATTTGGGATCTCAACAGCATGTTCTTCTTCATGACCCTTGGTCTTGATCTTCTTATAGGTTCAAAATCTGGGCAAGTAATACATTTATATATTCTCTTCTTGGGAAAGATTACTTAAGTAATGTAATCTCATGTCAGATTTTCTTCTATACACGATAATAAAATAAGTGATTGAATGATGCAAATAATATGTGTGCTGTTATTGTTCTGCAAGTGTTTTAAAGCTCTATAAAGTTGTCAAATGTCTGTTTATGACTGAACCAAGTGTGCCGCAAGCCTACGTTTGAGTGAAGGTTTCGGCCGTTAGATCGCCCCCTGGGGGCTGGCTGCAGTACAAGTCATAAAGCCCGCCTCCTCCGTGTTAATGAAGGAGACTTGAGCCCAAATAAAAAAAAATATTACACTTGCAATAAAATGTCCCGAAAGATAGTTCTGGTCGATTAAGGCACTGGTTATTGTGCTGAAATAGGTGCAGATCTTCATTTTTGTAAACAGTTTGTTTTTAGCAGTAATTTAATGCTGGGCGTGTCATCGTGATTGAAAGCTGTGATTGACAGTTTCTCAAAGCGCGGCGTCTGAGCTTCGGCAGGAGACTGAAGTAGACTGAAATGTTATTATTCGATTTCTGTGTTATTTTACCATGACAAAATGAGTTCAGCAGTAAACTATAGTTTCTGACATACATGATCCTGGTGGAACACTGTTTATTCGCTAAGTTCAGGGCTTTTTTCGGGCTTTATTAGTTTGCTGATACACGCCTAACCACCCAGATAGCAAAACACAGTTCCGGCTAGATTCTCGCCTGCCGGAGACTTATCTCTTAGAGCTCAGACTGACTAATGTTACCTCTGCTGGACCTACTCCGGATGCCTGGACTCACTGCCCGATTCCAGTCCGAGTCAATCGAGCCAGATGCGGCGGCCGAGCGAGCAGGCGCTGCCGCATGCGAGCCGGAATCAGTCCGCGACGCCGCGAGTAAGTTGTGCGCTGCGGCCCGGAGCTGGCGCGATTGAATATATAAAACCCTCATATTTGTTAACGTTATTACATCCATTTGTGTTGATATGACAGCAAACGCATGCTGAGAAGTTCGGGGGGCGTAGTTGATTTTACATAAAGCGTTTGATTGGAAGCTCGACTCTGCTCATTTTCGCGGCTCCTCCTCTGGCTCCATCAGACAGTCCTTCTGCGCATGTCTGGCTCCAATTTCAGCAGTCTTTTGCGACAGTTTGTGCCCGTCAAGCAGGCGTTTTGCCCTCAAGGCGTTCAATGGGAAAAAGGGCTGTCGCGTCGTCCATATTTTTTACAGTCATTGGACTGAACTTTTGACTTCACCGTTCCTGTTGGTACATGGGCGGAGCTCTGTTTCCATGGAGACGCGTCATCACGCTCAAACGACCTTCATTCATTTCAGACAGAACCCTGAGTTTTTCGCGCTACTTGGTTTATTTTTTCTAAATAGAAGGCGCATTGATATCTTCTAATACTCTTCATGTGAATTAACGGTTTGTTCAGAAAGAAAAACTGGAGGTCAGTCTCTTTAAGCCATGTGCTGGTGCTTGTTTTGAAGTGCTTGGAGCCTTGTGTTATGACGTCGTTTAGAGAAAGACGGATTAAAGGCGCTCAAACAGCAAACATGAACGAGGAGATTCCGGTTCAAAAAGGATTTCACGTCCCACCTTTGACTGCCACGACGAAAGAGAGCAAAAAGAAAAGAAAAGACACAACAAAAGAGAAGAAGAAAGCGAAAAATGTCGTTAACAAGTCAAAGGATTCAGGTGAGTCAAGAAATAAATTGAATAAACAAACAGAACGTGTACAATACTTTACATTGCCACTGGTGTAATCCTAATTGTCCATATAGTAATGTAATAAAATTAATAAATGTATAAAATAAGAATAGGTGTGTGGGAGGATAAGGAGTCTTTAAAGGGATAACGTTCATACAAAACTGCAAATTCTGTCATCATGTATTCACCATTTACTTATTTTAAACCTGAGTTTCTTCTGTTTGACACAAGGTAGATATTTTGAAGAAAGCTGTGAACCAGTGGTCACCAAACTTGTTCCTGGAGGGACGGTGTCCTGCAGACTTTTGTTGCAACCCTAATCAAACACACCTGAACAAGCTAATCAAGGTCTTACTTGGTATACTTGAAACATCCAGGGCTGCGTTTCCCAAAAGCATCGTAAGCCTAAGAAGTTCGTAGAAATGATCGTACGACTGATCTTAATATTACGGTCTGTTTCCCAAAAGCATCGTAACTTAAGTAGCACTTGAAAATCTTAGTGGATCTACGAGTGCTCTGGAGTAATCGTAAAGCCTTAAGTGCATCGTAAGGAGACAGAGTTATGAGGGCACCTGCTGGACAACCGGCAAATTGCACCTACAATTTACTTCTCTTCAAAGTCATTATTCATTTTATTTGTACGTATATCTCTATTCATTTATATTTTCTACACATTACACAATTCAATATACAAATAATAATGAATAAAGAAAAAAATAAAAATTACATAATAAATGTTAGAATGAAAAAAAAAATTACACTGTTGTATATGGACATTTCGAGGGTAGTAGGCTATATTTTTGTCCTATTAGCAAATGCACATCAGGTGGGGATAATTAGGCTAAACTTTTCAAAAATAAATGTAAGAGCTTATTTATTTATTTATTTATTTACTTATTTATTTATTTTGATGTGAGATAAGCAATTTTTGATAAAGAAATTGATAAATAATTCTACTTAATTAAGGTTTCATATAAATATCGAAAATGATGCTGATGTCATTTCCGGCAAGGACTGTTAGAATTAGTTTTATGCGAGATTGGAGCAAGACAGTGTTTTTACAGTACGACATTTCCAGTTAATTTATGTTTTTAAACTGGCTCAAAAATATTTTTTTTTTTTTTGTTATTCGAGTTGAATATACATTCACACAAGTAGAAGAAGAATTATATGGATTGCTATAACATGTGCAACAATAACGAGCCATTCTATAGCGTGACATTTCAGCACTTAACAAACGGATAGCGACTCCTAAGTTGCACTTAAAGCTGGGCTACGTGCAATTGTGTTAAGTGCATTTTTGGGAAACGCACGTGAAACAATAACGAACGTTCGCAAAATGACTCGTAGAAAACGCTCTTAAGTGCTAAGATCAATCGTTATCGGGAAACGCAGCCCAGGGCTAAAACATAAATTAACTGGAAATGTCGTACTGTAAAAACACTGTCTTGCTCCAATCTCGCATAAAACTAATTCTAACAGTCCTTGCCGGAAATGACATCAGCATCATTTTCGATATTTATATGAAACCTTAATTAAGTAGAATTATTTATCAATTTCTTTATCAAAAATTGCTTATCTCACATCAAAATAAATAAATAAGTAAATAAATAAATAAATAAGCTCTTACATTTATTTTTGAAAAGTTTAGCCTAATTATCCCCACCTGATGTGCATTTGCTAATAGGACAAAAATATAGCCTACTACCCTCGAAATGTCCATATACAACAGTGTAATTTTTTTTTTCATTCTAACATTTATTATGTAATTTTTATTTTTTTCTTTATTCATTATTATTTGTATATTGAATTGTGTAATGTGTAGAAAATATAAATGAATAGAGATATACGTACAAATAAAATGAATAATGACTTTGAAGAGAAGTAAATTGTAGGTGCAATTTGCCGGTTGTCCAGCAGGTGCCCTCATAACTCTGTCTCCTTACGATGCACTTAAGGCTTTACGATTACTCCAGAGCACTCGTAGATCCACTAAGATTTTCAAGTGCTACTTAAGTTACGATGCTTTTGGGAAACAGACCGTAATATTAAGATCAGTCGTACGATCATTTCTACGAACTTCTTAGGCTTACGATGCTTTTGGGAAACGCAGCCCAGGCAGGTGTGTTAAGGCAAATTGGAGCTAAACCCTGCAGGGACACCGGCCCTTCAGGACCGACATTGGTGACCCCTGCTGTAAACCTTTAGACCATATCTCAAACTCAATTCCTGGAGGGCTGCAGCTCTGCACAGTTTTACTCCAACCCTGATCAAACACAGTTGATCCAACTAAAGAAGGTGTTTATGAGTTTTTTAAACACCTCAATTATTTGGATCATCTGTGTTTGATAACGATGGAGCAAAACTGAAGAGCTGCAGCCCTCCAGGAATTGAGTTTGAGATGAATGCTTCAAGCCTATGATCGATTGAAAGTTAGGTCCATAGTATTTGTTTTTCCTATAAGGAAGACTGTGGTTGCAGGTTTTTAGATTTCTTCAAAATATCTTCTTTTTTTGTTAGACAGAAAAAAGAAACTCATAGGGCTCTATTTTGACGGTCCATGCGCAGAAGGCAAAACGCAGGGCGCAGACGCTTTCAGGGTGTGTCAAAACGCATTTTTGCTAATTTAAGGACGGGAAAATCCGCTTTGCGCCATGGCGCATGGTCTAAAAGGGTTGAGTTTATTATCTTAATGAGTTATAGGTGTGTTTTGAGAATAAACCAATCAGAGTCTCATCTCCCATTACCTTTAAGAGCCAGCTGCGTCACGCCATAAGTGCATTTTGATGTAAAGTAAGTTCACTTTCGCTTTTACTCTCGTGGATAGGGAAACCTTTATGCACTGACATCAATTAGCCTATAAATAATTAATTTCGTTTGTTAAACGCAAAGATTTGTTTCAAAACAATTTCTAAATTCAGTTCTAATTTCTAGCAAACGAATAAATGAACAATAATAACCAAGTGTGGTCAAAATACTTATTTCCAAATACACATGCTGTGCACCATATGGTCTAAAACCTGACAGGTGGACAAATCTAAGCTTGTTTTTAATAAAACAAATAAAAATATGGATATAATTAATAATACTGCTCAAGGCTCAACAATAAGGACTGCCCGGTGGCCCAGGGCCAGCTTGAGACACACTTGGGACAGTAGACCGGATCATTACTGGCCCGATTGGGACAGTGCTGCCTTGTCACTAACATTTAATTTGTCTGCGACTATGTAAATTACGTGCATTTTAAGTTTTTAAACACTACCTTCTTTGTGATGCCGTAAACACCATATTGCTTTTCCGGTTCCTCTTATCTGATTGACCATGATATTTTCTTTCTGTAATCTGGTAAAAACCAGTACAGTGAAGAAACGGCAACATTGCGGAAACATCAAATTATAAGGCTAAAAGAAAATGTCTGTTTCGAACGTCTTGGAAGTAGACATTTACGTGTGACTAACATGACAAAATAAAAATGAAGTGATGTTTTGCACAGTTTGCCGCCAGTTTAACAAGTCAGCCAACTTTTGTTAACATTTTCTGTAGTTTTTTTTGTTTGTTTGCATAACACTTTTATTTACAATTTATTTAAAGTATTGAAATTCTAGATTCACAGACTTTATTTTTGACACATTATTTAAAATGTGGCAAAAATAGCTATTAACTTCCCTTTTTTTTTGGTGGGGCCTGTGAAAATTTTGCCAGGGCAAGTAAAAATCTGAACCACTGGTCCGATTGTACCAGTAGAAATAATCCATAGCGTTGAACCCTGCTGCTAATAATAACAACATTATACAAAAGCATATTGAATGAACTGAAAAAGCCTCACGAGATGAAGAAAGTAAGGCAGTGGTTTTTAAGTCTTCATGTAGGCTAGAAATTAATATGTTTTGTAATATTTCATTTATATTTATATCCTGTATATATCCTCATATATATATATATATATAACTTTGCGCAGACAATAGACCGACTTTGTTCTGGTCTAAAGATCAGACTATTTACAGTTTCTCAAAATAGCAACGCGCCAAAAACACGCCTGCTTTTTTAGACCAGAACGCCTATGGGCGCACATTTGAGCGCAAATGCATTTGCTATTTAAACAGTGTGGTGCAACACCTCAAAATGACCCTTGCGCCGAGCTAAAAGTAGCAAAAGAATATTGCGCCGCGCCTTGCTCCACATTGCGCCGGGTATATGATAGGGCCCATAAAGTTTTGGAACCACTTGAGGGAGAGTAAATAGTGAGTATTTCTTTATGTGAGCAAATTCCCTTGAGTGATAGATAACTCAAAAATAAAATATTTCATCATTTGCTCAACTTCATGTCATCCCATGACAGCCTTTTATTTACCTTAGTATGTTTTCTTTTAAAGGTCATTGTTGTGTGAGCCAAACCACCAGCTCAATACCATTACAAGAAGCAAAAAGGTTAAATGAAAATCAGACAAAAGACAAAGGTTCAAGATTGTGTATGTAATGACTTTAATTAAGATCTGTTATCACTGGAAGCATTGTACATGGCTCATATGACAGATTTATAAAACTATTCACTGGAAGTTGTTGGATTCATTTCTATACCAATATTTTGAGAGCATGGGGGCCTGACATTTGCTCTACTTCATGCATGGGAGTGGGTGGAGCTTAAAAACTCCGCACTTTTTGCCTGCTGTGACAAATTTTCTGCACAGCATCATGGGAATGTCATATTTCTGCAGAAAAGTTGTTATTAAACGCAACTGTTTAAAAATATAACATTATCTTTCTTTACTCGTTTAGAGGACACTTTTATCCAGTTAGGTGTAAGCATTTCCAGTGTTATGGATGTGACATTTGCAGTAAAAACTCAAAACATAATTTCACACAGAAGGTATATGTTGACATTGTATCAAAACTTCTGTTTATATTTTCCAAAATAGCTCACCACAGAGTTATGGGAGCAGAAAAATATCAATATGTAAACATGTTTTATATTTTAAATTAGGAAAATAAGCATGTGTTATGGATGTGACAAAAAAAGTTTGCGAATTTACAGTCGACAACAGATTATTTAGAAATTCTGACAGTTAAACTGCACAACCCCAAAAGAAACAATGCTCATCAAACAGGTATGAGTCGGCTCACTATAGAATTAAAATGATTGATTTTATTTTATTTGACATTTTTGCATTTATGAAGAAAAAGTGTCGTTATGGATGTGACACATTTCCGTTATGGATGTGACAGCTGTGAAATAGCCACTTGTGTGATTTTGGCAAATTAAATATAATAGTTTGAAATACTGACAGATACATTTACGAGTATTTTTACAGTACTGTAAAATACTTGCTAGCACAAAAAATGTAGGTTTGTCTATTTTGGTGAAAACTAAATTATTTTTATGGCAAGGTTGACATTTGCATGGAATTGCCCGTATTTATTTGGGTTAAACTATTCCTTTTTATAATTCAGATTTAAATAGTAATAATAAAAAAACAGAGAATTAATCCAAACTTATTGAACATTTATTTTTCAATTGTGTAATTAATTCAAGCTTTCTGTGGCCACTGTCCTCCTGCATAGCCATGTATTCACACCGCTTCCGGCAAGAGTGTTAAAGAAGCCTGAAGTCTTTCATTATCAATGACAGCAGAAACAGAGTGAAAAACCCTTGCCCATGAAGCTGTGACCCACTGTGATGTTTTAAACTTTCCACAGTATTGTTGTGCTGGAAGATTAACTTGTAAATCACCAACCCCTCTAGAGAAACTTCGGACTGAACAGTGGATCAATGGAGAGATGAGTGATGCTCAGAGCAAAGGTCATGTCAAACCCAAAGAGCGAAAGAACAGCAAACCCAAAAATCCCAAGGCTGCGCAAGAAGTTGCTTTTGCTTCAGGAGAAGAGGTCAAATCTGATTTGTCCCACTTTAAACAGGACAGCTTGAGGTGGGAAGGAGCTCTGGAAGACCCTGCTGCAGAAGCCCAGCGGCTGGAGGTCTACAGAGCCAACCGACGCAAACGCTACATGGCATCAAGGCAAGCTTTTCTACAAAACAATTAGACTGGTCAATGTATAGGCTCGAACTAGGCTAAACTAAATAATCAAAACAAAAAAAGTTTTACCATGAAGGCGTTCATTTTACATTTGCTTATTATCATGCTGAGTTCATTTAATATGAGGATATTAGTAAATAACTGCAGCGTGTGAAAGTGCTTTAGGCCTAAATGTGCAAAACATTCTCTGATATGAATACTATCAATATTCTGCTGTATAATGTGCCTGTACATTGATTAATGGCTTTGTAATTATTTTGTTTGATTTGTCTGGGTTTTGTCATGTCGTCTGTTCTTTTTATGTAATGATTAATCTAGAAAAATAATAACAGTAGTTTAAATATATACAATTGTTTTTAATTAGAATGATTTCTTAAGGATCATGTAACACTGAGGACTAATGCCTGCGTCACATTAATAAATCACATTTTTAAATGTATTCAAATAGGAAGAGACTTTTTTTTAAATATTAAAGTGTATATTTATTCATTCATTTTCCATCTCCTAAGTCCCTTTATTAATCAGGGGTCGCCACAATGGAATGAACCTCCAACTTATCCAGCATGTTTTACACAGCTGATGCCCTTTTTGCTGCAAGCGGTACTGGAAAACACCTATACACAAATTCATATACATACACTACGGCCAATTTAGTTTGTTTAATTCACCTATGCGCAGTGGCGCAGTAGGTAGTGCTGTCGCCTCACAGCAAGAAGGTCACTGGTTCAAGCCTCGGCTCAGTTGGCGTTTCTATGTGGAGTTTGCATGTTCTCCCTGCGTTCGCGTGGGTTTCCTCTGGGTGCTCCGGTTTCCCCTACAGTCCAAAGACATGCGGTACAGGTGAATTGGGTAGGCTAAATTGTCCGTAGTGTATGAGTGTGTGTGTGTGTGTGTGGATGTTTCCGGCTTCCGTTTGCGGCTGGAAGGGCATCCGCTGCGTAAAAACTGTGCTGGATAAGTTGGTGGTTCATTCCACTGTGGCGACCCTAGATTAATAAAGTGACTAAGCTGACAAGAAAATGAATGAATGTAATTCACCTATAGCGCATGTCTTTGGACTGTGGGGGAAACCAGAGCATCCGAAGGAAACCCACACAAACACGGGAAAAACATGCAAACTCCACACAGAAATGCCAACTGTCCCAGTCGGACTTGAACCAGCGATCTTCTTACTGTGAGACGACAGTGCTAACCCATGAGCTGCCCATGAGTGTATATATTTTCATGTCAAAAAACAGTCCAAACTATGTATAGCGTAATAATTTATTGCTTTGTGAATGTTACAGATGTGTATGAGCATGACAAATGTGTGTAGTATTTTTAAACTGAGTAAAAACAAGACAATGAACCATGAATGAGTAACAGTGACTAAAACTTGCTCTGCAGCACACTGTTATGTTGGTTAAAAAAAGCAGCTTTGTTGTGTGACCGTCTTCGGACTAAAATAATGTTGATTTGTGTTTACATTCAAACGATTAATTCCTTCACTATGCTGTATCTAAAATAGTGCTGTGTAACATTAGAAAACTGTCATCCTGTTGCCATCATGTTTTCACGTTTTTTAGTGGGCAAGTAAACTGGACCTCTTAAAGTATTTGAATGCTGTTAATAATGCATTACACCGCAATGCCCTTCCTGATAGATAAACTGAACCAATGTGGAAGTCATAATATTAAAGGGTTAGTTCACCATAAAATTACGATTTTGTCATTATATTCTCACCCTTGTGAGATATTAAGATTTATCTTCAAAACACAAAGGAAGAGATTCTCTCCTTAAAAGTTTATCGATTATCTATGGTAGCAAAGACAATTGAAACAATTTAAATTAGTGATTTAATCCATGTATTAATATGGATTTTGTTTAATCTCTAGAGTAGTAGGTAAACAAACTTTCAGCAGAGACAAAAATTTGTCAGTTTCAAGTTAAAAAAAATGTTCGATTGTGTCCTTATTTGTGTTCCATATGGGTCTAGAATGACATTAGGAGAGTAAATGGTGAAAGAATTGTTATTTCTGGGGTACCACCACTTTATAAGCTACATCAACCTGTATTAAATACCAGAATCTCAAATATATAGCTAACTTTTTCAATAACACTTTGCAAAAAGGTTCCGTTAAGCAAAGATAATGTATTTACTTGCATGAACAAACAATGAACAATACATTGTAGTGTTTATTCATCTTTGTTAACATAAGTTAATAAATATAAAGTTGTTCATTGTTAGTTCTTGCATTAGCTAATGTCAACAAGCACAGCCCTGGAGTTTAATAATGCATTAGTAAATGTTAAACTACAATTAATAAATGCTATTCAAAATATTGTTATTAGTATATATTTATAATTGCACTTTTTTTAATTCAGAGAGGAAGAAAACATCCACTAATTTTTTTTTTTTTGCTGATAATGTCTTATTCTTTATATTTGATACTGTATTTCTCTGACAAATCAATCAATAAAAAACTTAAATAAACTAAAATATAACTGCGTATTCCTAAATAACTTGTTCATTATTAATTAATAACTACAAAGAATGAACGAAACCTTATTGTAAAGTGTAACCACTTTTATAAAGTTGTTCATTGTTAGTTCTTGCATTAGCTAATGTCAACAAGCACAGCCCTGGAGTTTAATAATGCATTAGTAAATGTTAAACTACAATTAATAAATGCTATTCAAAATATTGTTATCAATGCTATATATATTTATAATCGCACTATTTTTACTTCAGAGAGGAAGAAAACATCCACTAATTTAGTTTTTTTGCTGCATGATGTCTTATTCTCTATATTTAATACTGTATTTCTCTGACTAATATGCATCAATAAAAAACTTAAATAAACTAAAATATAACTGCGTATTCCTAAATAACTTGTTCATTATTAATTAATAACTACAAAGAATGAATGAAACCTTATTGTAAAGTGTAACCACTTTTTCTTACCTCATTTCCCTTGATAATAACTCTATAAATGTTTTAGAGTCATTGAGGAAAATGTTAGGTAATGTTAGCTAGATTATAGTACTTGATAAAGGGATCTGGTCAGTTCTCTGCTATATCTTCTTAAGGTCCAAGCTCTACTTCATGGCCCACATTTCACCTCCAGATTTGGACTGTCGTGTATGACCCATTTATCTCTGCACAAATTTTTGCTGATAAGAACAGAAGTGAATTACGAGGATTTGGGAGCGAAAACTGGGTTGCGTTGCATGGCAGGAGTGAGAGAATAAGAGGCGATATAAGAGAGCAGCTCAGCATTTCTTTTGTAATGTGCTCTTTTGTAACATGTTTGTCCGGTTTCATTATATATGCTGCCTCTTTTGTGACCACTGTCACATTCAGCATCCATCGCTCAGTGTTCATCTAATCCTGCTAAGCACTATGATTTGATGTCTTTTTTTTCTACTACCCGTGCTCCATTTCACAGCTTGATGACCAGCGACGCCACCTATAGATCCATCAAGCACACAAGTCTGCCAGAGCGACTGTATACTTGACAATGAATTAAAGGCCTGTTCACGCCAAGAGTGGTAATTATATTAGTGTCAACAACACACAGTATTGTTATGTTTAAATGTTTTCTTTATCCGCACCTGTAAATTCATCCTGAAATGTAAGCTACAATAGTATTTTTTTATTGCGACTTATATCCAAGTAAAACGACTTCTCAAGTAAAAATAAATGTAGGACAGAACTTCTTTCATTTCGTTCCACTGAGAATTGAACAGACTGCTGTTGTTGTTTGCTTATTGGTCAATCTTATGTGATTGACAGCTGGCCCGCTCCCCTCTCCAGCATCACAGAATACATGCTGTAAAAGGGAGGGGATTATTTTATTTCATTAAAGATTATAACGGCACAAGAATGACAAATTTAAATAGATAAATATTTAAGATATATAACTACTGCAATATTTCATAAAAAATAAGACTTTTTGAATTTAATGGTTACTTTAAATGCTAAAGCTCATAGAATTAAAAAGATAATTAAAGCTTTATAGTTACTGTTATCATTAAATTTAGCACTCTTGCCATGAACAGGCCTTTAAAACATTGATTTACTTTACAAACTAGATGCTGTTTACGTAAAAAAAAAAAACTCTTCTCATCTTTCATAAGCTCAATATGTTCTCTTTATATCTATAATACTGATTAGAATAAAAATTTGATTGCGTTAACTTTCATTTTTGAGAAAAACAGATGTGAAACGGAGCTAACTGGCAAAGTCACAAAGAGAACTGAGGTAAGAGCAGAATAAAAGCTTCTCCTCTTGTTTTGGTTGTGTGTGGGTAGTGGTTCTCGTCTCTGAATATCAGTGGTAAAATGGCAAGCTCTGTGAACTGTGTACAAAGCTCCTGGAGAAACATACTGTATTGGCCTTTAAATGTTACGAAGAATGTCTTCTGAGTAAAGGCATGGTTGGATGGGATGTACTGTGGACAGAATAGCTGAATTCAGAGTCAAAACTGTTGTCAGTGGTCACATGGGCTCCAGTTTCAGCCAACTGAGGTCATCTGACCTAAAAAAAAAGAAAAAGAAAGAAAACCTCGGTTTAAAAACAATATTAGGAGTACACTAGAGCTCTGATGGTATGTGTAGGCCTTTATCTTTTTTAAAGATGCTTCTAGCAAACTGTACTGTAATAACATATCACACACAGCACTGCGATACGGCTGTAAATCAGCAGGACTGTCATATACAACTATGTTGCAGTGACTCAAGTGTGATTATTGCTCAGTATGTACACTAGTCAACATTTAAAGCCGATGATAAAAGATTTTCAAAATTGTCCTGAGATAAGAATGGATGGTGTTTAATTGTTTTAGGACAACTATGATGAAAGGTTTTATACCCCTTATACAGTTGGCGAATGTATTACAGCTGCACAATTTATCACAAAATAACCATTACTGCGATAATAGTATTACATCATAAATACCGACGTGTAATTAAATTACATTTATTGTATGCTTTGGTTGTTTATCTAAATTTGACCAAATAGATTGGGCCTTATCTTTATCCCTATCTCCCTTGATGTTCTGCAATTGGCTCGAGCAGCCCAAAGGTGTACGCAGGGCTTAAAATAAAGAGCTAGAGTTGAGACGTTAGAGGAAAATGACAACAGCCAATCAGAGCCAGAATATCTGCTGAGGTTTTAACTCATTCATAGGGCCCTATCATACACCCGGCACTATGCGGCGCAATTGTTATTTGCTAGTTTCAGCTTGGCGCAAGAGTCGTTTTGACATTTTGCACCACGCTTTTTAAGTAGCAAATTTATTTGCGCTCATATGTGCACCCATAGGCGTTCTGGTCTAAAAAAGGAGTTGTGTTAAGGCACATTGTCTAAAGTCCAGCGCAGAGCGCGTTAGTTGTGCGCCTCGCTTACACACTGCTTAATACACACAGGATGAACAGCAATACGCATATATCTTTACAAATGAAAAAGAATTAAAGGATTAAAATATTACAAATATTATTATTTTCTAGCCTACATTAATATAAAATCGCTGCCACCATGCCTTCATCATCTCGGGGGACTTTATTAGTTTATTCATGACTATTTGCTTTTGTATAATGTTACTATTAGTAGTAGTAGTATCATTAATTATATGAAAATATATTTATTTATATTTGTTTTATAAAAACAAGCTTAGATTTGTCCACCTGTCAGGTTTTAGACCATATGGGGCATAGCATGTGTATTTGGATATAACTCTTCACTTCGCTATTATTGTTCATTTATTAATTTGCTGGAAATTAGAACTGAATTTAGAAATAATTTTGAAACAAATCTTTGCGCTTAATAAACAAAATTAGTTATGTAGGCTAATGGATGTCTGTGCGTACAACACGTTTCCCTATCCACAAGAGTGAAAATGAAAGTAAAGAATGAGGAGGCTCATTCTTTAACCTTGCGCTGTAGATGCTCTGTTTAACTGTGTTGTCTCTCTAGTAAAGCACTCAGTTTTTTCCACTTACAAAGTCCACCATGTAAATGGCAAATGCGCTGTGGCGCGACGCAACTGACTCTTAAAGGGAATGGGAGATGATACTCTGATTGGTTTATTCTCAAAACACACCTATAACTCATTTAGAGAATAAGCTCAACCCTGTTAGACCATGCACCATGGCGCAAAGCAGATTTGTCCGTTCTTAAAATAGCAAAAGTAAATTCTAACATGCCCTTAATGCTTTTGCGCCCTACGCTTTGGACTTTGCGCATTGATCGTCAAAAAAGAGCCCCTAGTGTTGTAAAGACTAAGACCTATGATCTTGCGCAGTGCTGATATAGAACCACATCGCACTGCTACTCGTGATATTGCTAATATCTATCTATCTATCTATCTATCTATCTATCTATCTATCTATCTATCTATCTATCTATCTATCTATCTATCTATCTATCTATCTATATGTGTGTGTGTGTGTGAGTGTGTGTGTGTGTGTGTGTCTGTCTAACCCTTATATATATATATATATATATATATATATATTAGAAATAGTGTGAATTTGGATATACTGTTCTAGTACTGCATATTTTTTTCACTCACTATAGTCTATATAGTTGGAAAGTTTGTGATTTCAGATGTAGTCATTGTTCTGGATAGCATACTATTCCAAATATTTATGCAGTATACTGAGAAAAGTATGCAGTTTGTCAGTATATGCTAGCACTTTCATGGCATATGAAAATATTTTAGTTGTGGGTGAATAAAAACACAATGCAAGCCAATACTAACAACTCCACTTTTTGAGTCCTTGGTTGTACTGGCTGTTTAAAAACAAATAAAGGTTGAAAAGGTTTAAAAAGACGGTTGAAAAAAATAATTTAATGCAACTTTAATGCATCCAACTACGTTTAGATACACCCTCAGAATATGTTGTTTATAATTGGATTTTTGTCAATTGAATGTTTCCTCGTATAAATGAAAATGCTTTTATCAAGCTAATGTGATTAAGCTGATAATTGTTAACAGGACTGCAGGGGTTTTCTCAGTCATGTAAACATGCAAATAAATCCTTACTCTGAGGCCGTACTCACACTAGGTACAGTTGCCTCGAACCGGGCCAAAGCACGCTTGTCCCCCCTCCCGTCTCCCCCGACGGCCCACACTCACACCACAAACGGGCCTCGGCACGCTCACGTCATCGCTGCTGGGCTGTTCAGTGAGAAGCGCTCTCTCACTCAGCAGCACAGTGGAGATTTCTCTAGTTATATCGTTATGCAGTGACATGCAGTCAAATATTTTGCCAAACAGTGCTTAGGGAACACTTTTGGCGCTCATAAACAATCATAAAGCTCTCGTGCTGCAGGAAGAGGAGGTTTGCTGAAGGTGCGCAGCTGTCGTGCAGTGAGGAGTTCTCGTCTTTAATAAACTACGGCAGTTTGTGTTCACTGAACAGTAAGAATGATTAATAAATCCATATGAAACAGCCCCTTAAAAGTCACGTCTCGCTTTCAGTTTCGGGCTTTGGCGCGTTTTGCACTCACACTACAAGTGTACCACGCCAAAGCCCAAGTGAACCGCGCACAGGCACACCTCTTCCAACCGGGCCAGGGACAGCCAAGTGAACCGTGCTTGAGCCCAATTCAGCGCACTCGAACTTCTCAAACGATCCGGGAAACGGGCCTGGGCATGGTACGGATGGCATAGTGTGAGTAGGCCCTGATTCTCAAAAAAAAAAATCACATTATTGATGCACATTTAAATGCAGTCGGTGAGGGGCATCTTTTCTCAATGAAAGCTCACTCACTCTGCCTCTGCCTTTGTAATCACTCTTCCTTCTGCCAGTCTCTCTGCCACCACAGAAACGGCGGGTTCAACATTCAGTCCTGCGGCAGCCACCACCTCACCATCCCTGCAGTCAAACATTCAAAACCCATATTTCAAGCTCTAATGAGAAAACTTGTATGGAGACAAGAGGCAACAATCCCACAGCTGCTTACTTGAGGTAAAGTGCCAAAAACTTCATGTTCTCAAACTTCCCTTTCAGCACCATCTCAGTGTATCCCTCCCCATATCCTGTGCATATTGAACAACATGAGCACAATTGTGTACGACTACATCTATATTTGTGTTTTACTATTCTGAAAGTAAAAGAGCCCACCAGCGTATCGAATGGTTCTCCCGAACAGGACGGTCCAGTAGTATGGCACTGTGTTTAGCTCCACTTCTCTGCACAGCATGTTGAGAGCTGCAATCCTTCCTAATAAAGCACAGTTTATTAAAGCAAATTGATCATTTTTAAAGCCACAGTATTTCATCCACAGCTCAAAAAACACCTAAAATCTCAATTGTATTTTGGCCACTGTAACACATGGCCACTTTTAAGACATGCTTTGCTAATGTACTCACAAGTTAAACAAAAATAAACACATCTCAGAAGTTTTGATTACCATGTGCCTGCGCTATCTGCCAATGGCCAAGGCTCACTTTCTGGCCTTTTGCCATTTTGAGAGGAAAGGAGGTCAGATCTCCAGCACAGTAGACGTCTGTTATGTTGGTCCTCATGTACTAAACATACAGGGACACGATTAAAAAGCACAAGCGTGATGTGACTGCTAATTTTTAAGTTTATAAACACTTACCTCATCCACAATGACATAGTTCTTTGAGTCCATTCTTACTCGACTCCCCTTTAGAAACTCTGAATTCGGACTGACACCTTGAGGAGATGAGCACAACATTTATGTTCCAGTTATTTAAACTGAAGAATAATTTGTTCTCACTTCAACAACTGCCTTTAGCAAGCACTTTTGGGCCAATTCTGGCAAAAATTTGCCACTGTCGGCTCAGTCTGAGCATCAGTATGAAGATAATAAGCTAGAGCTGTGCCAAATCTATACAACCCTCCTGGGTGACTGACACATTTTTTTTCTGTGGGCCGGTCTTTGCTCAAACTGTTCTAAGCGTAACAGGTACACTCTTGGTTTAGTTGTATAACCTCGAGGAGTGACACATACAACTGAGGTAGGATCCAAAATGCAGGTTTATTCGTAGTCAGGCAAGCAATGGTCAATACAGGTGCAAACGGGTATGTGAAGGCAGTCCAGAATCGTAATCAGTAACAGGCGAAAGGTCAAAAGGCAGGCGGCAGACAAAGACAAGGAGGCTAACAAGGCTAAGGTCATTACACAGAATAGCAAGACTGTGAAAAGCGTTGTAATGCTACTTATAGTAAACAAGACTCGGCCAAGTGAATGAGTGAGTGTGTAGGTTAAATAGTGTGTGCAATCAGTTTCTGAAAATCCTCAGGTGGTGCGAGTAATCAGTCTAGATGAGGAAGCATGTGTGAGTGTGACCGGAGTGCATGTATGAAAATGTAGTCCAGAAATTGTGGATTTGTAGTCCATTGTTATAATTAGTGCAAACCAGCAATCTTATGGGATATGATCGCTGGTAATCGTGACAAGTTGTGTGTAACCACCTTTGGCCCAAGTTCGTACTGTCACAGACAGGCCACTGTCAGAATAAGGGAGCCCAGATGACATGACAAAAAAAAATGTGTTTGGTCATTGAACTGTTTGATTAAGTGTGCTCCCTCCCACAACTACAAAGGACGATTCGCTCATTGAAAAGCTGTTCTATAGGGTAAAGTTAAATATTTTGCAAAAGTTAAAGTACGTTTGAGAAGTAGTTGCAGTTGTCAGGATGTTTGCAGGGTTAAGTATAAATTGCCTTTGGTCGTATATTGGTAATGTTTGTGTCCGTAGTATAACATCTGAAATGGTGTAAACATGTTGATGAGTTTTATTAACTGTAGGTCTAGGCGTTTATATTCGTTTGTTATGGCAAAACTTAATCCCAGCTATTATTTACATGGCTAATACATTAAAAACATCACACATGTGCACCTATGCTTGGATTTATCTTGTTTTATGTTTTTCTTTTCTTACTGTGTTGTCAATAAATATTGGGTTGGTATTATTGTTTGAGTCTTACAATTTTCTGCACTGTTTGGATGTCTACTCGTATCACGTGACACATTGACTGTTTAAATGACCTCCAGTCGTAGTTTGTTGTCACCCTGATGAAGGGGAGACTATCAGACTGTCTGGTAGCACCTGCGCTAGACTTGGACCACATAAAATAAACCCTATATGTTGTTTTTAAAGGAAGTGGGCCAGATATGGGCCAGATGGAAATGTATGTGACGGTTTCCAGTGTGTGTGCCGGTTTTGGGTAACGACCCAGGCGTATATTTTTGCTATCTAGTCTGTACTGTACTTACCAATTGCAACAATTAACAAATCAGCTTCAATAGTGATGCCGCTCTTCAGTTTCACTGCCTTAACCTGTAGTAAGCACAAAAGTTATGATGAACAGGATGAATCCTTGTCCAGTTTGGTGTTTCTTATGATCTATTTTAATCAGTTAATTTCCAGTAAAATGGATTCATGTGCTGCACTGTAAATAAATCCTGCATTCATGTGCTGCACAGTGAATTGTGTATAAAACAATTCATCCATGTTGTCTCAACACAAATCGAACTTAACAAATTTTAGTGAATTGATCATAAAACAATTAAGTTGTCCAAAAAATATCTCAAGAACTGTTGTTTCAGCTCATTTTATATAAGTAATTTAAACAAGCAGTAACATATTTTGAGTCTGATTTTGAAGATAGATAGATAGATAGATAGATAGATAGATAGATAGATAGATAGATAGATAGATAGATAGATAGATAGATAGATAGATAGATAGATAGATAGATAGATAGATAGATATTTTATTATACTTTTAACAATCTGCTTAAGGTAGGTCAATTTATTTTTTCTTTTGATGAAGCAGCATTCAACTTAAGCTCTTTAGACCATGCTGCTGACCGTTTCTCAGTGTTTCACGTACTGTACGGCAATGTCTTTAAATAAATAATTTATTTAGGCCTATTTTCATTATTCATTTATTTTCATTATTCGTTTATTATTATGTACAATTGTTGAGACATA